AGCAAGTGATGACAAGTTGGAAGAGATAGAGATAGATGTAGAGAGAGTTAGGAAAAGAGAAAGATGGATAGAGACATAAAGAGGAAAGAAAAAGAGTGTGAGAGAAATAAAGAGAGTACAAGAGAACTTTCTTTAAGGAGATATCACACTCTCTCCTCATATTCTCGCTTCTTTCTCGACCACTCTACCTTCCTTTTTGTCGCTCTACTTGTTTCTCTATTTAACACTCTCTCTTGCTCTGTTTCTTCTCTCACTTTGTCTCCCTCTTTCTCTTAATATAGAGAGCAAGAGCGGAATAGAGTCAGTAGAAAGAAAGAGAGACGGAGAAGGGAGAGAGCAAGAGTTAAAGTAGGATAGTGAAATTTTTTTTCTTATTTCTTCTCTTTCTATCTCATAGGGAGGGAAAGTTTGAGAGGGAAAGCGATAGAGGAGGGTTAAGAGAGAAGGAGGGGAAGAAAGGTGTATGGGATGAAGGGAGACTTAGAGAGAATGATAACAGACATAATAAGAGAAGAGATATCTCACACTCTTCTTCTCTCATATCCTCTTTTGAATTTCTCTCTCTCTCTCTCAATATCCCTCCCTCTCTTTGTCCCTCCCATTGCCTTGTTTTCTCTCTCTCTTTGAGTGATACTGTGAAAATGAGAGAGAGAGAATGAGAGAAATGTAATAAGAGAGAAAGAGACAGTGAGAAAAGTTGGAAAGCATTAATGAATGAGGGAGACTGAGAGGAGGATCAAACATGAGGAAGTGCTCTTTATTTTTGCTCTCCCTCTCTCACTCTTCTCACCCTATTTCACATCTCTTTGTCCTCTCTCACTTTCTCTCTGTCTCTCACGTGCTTTTTTTATCTATCTATCTCTCTTTTCTCTCATCTTTCTCTCTTTTTACCTCTCTCTATTTGTTCTCTCCCTCAATCTCTCACTGTCTCTCTTCTCTCTTTCCACTCTCTCTATTTTCTTTATCTCTCTCTTTCCTTCTCCCTCCTCATCAATCTTTAGCTTTCTCACAAACTTCTCATACTTTCTCTCCTATCTTTCCATCAACTCTCTCTCTCTTGCGCTCTTTCTGTCGCTCTCACTTCTACTCTCCCCCCATCTCTCTCTCCTTTCCACTCTCTCATCCTAACTCCCTTAATTCAACTCGCTCTCTCACTTTATTTATCTCATTTACAACTTCAGTCACTCTCAATATTCTTTCTATCACTCTCACTATTCTATCTCCCCCTCTTTCTTTTTCTCATCTCATCACATTCTTTATCCTCTTTTGCTCTTGTTCTATATGTATCAATCTATATGTCTCTCTCTTTCTCTAATTCTATCTCTCTAACGTTTAACTTTCTCCCACTATAACTCTCATGCTCTTTGTCTCTTCAAAATTTCACTCTCTTTGCCTTTCTTCTATCCCTCATATCTCTATCACTCATTCCCTCTCTCACACATCCCTCTCACATCCCATATCACTCACCCTCTTTAGTCACTCTACCATTCTTGCTTTCTCACTCTCTCACCTCTCACTCTCTCACTTACTATCAAATTATTCTCTCTCACTTCTTTTGCTATGTTCTCTCTGTCTTCATAATTATCTCTCTCTAACTTTACCTCTCTCCCACTAGAACCCTCTTTTCTTGGTCTCTCTCCCGCCTTCCTGTGCCTCCTTCATTCCATCTCCCACCCTCCTCTCTCATTCACTCATTCTATTTCTCTATTTCTAGCTCTTTCTCTCTCACTTCCCTTTGGCCTCCCTCTCCATTTACCTCTCTTCCATCGAGTGAGAGAGACTGTGTGAGAGGACAACGAAGTAGATAGATACAGAGAGAGCTCTTCCTTGCCACATATTTCACACTCTTTTTAATCTTTTTTTTTTCTTCTCTTCTGTTCTCTATCTTTCCTATCTCTTCCACTCTTTCAAACACACTCTCCCCAAAGATATTAACATATCTCTCTCTCCCCATCTCTTCTACTTTATCTTTCTTCTACTCTAACCATCTATCAGTCTCTCTGTCTACCTCTCTCTACCTTCTTCATTCCCTCTCCGACCCACTCTCTCTCACTCACTTCATCTCTCTATCTTTCTCTCTCTAACTTCATCTTCCAACCTCCCCTCTTTTAACTTTCTTCCACCAAGTGAGAGAGAAATATAGAGAGAGTTCTACCTTATTACGTATCTTAAGTTCTCTCTCTTGTAATCTCTTATTTTCTCTTCTCTTCTCTCTCCTCTCTCTCCCACTCTGTTACTCACACTCCCAAACTGTCAACCTATCTCTCTCTCTCCATTTCTTTTAATAAGAGAAAGAAAAATCAAAAGTAGGAGAAATAAGGAGAGCTAGAGAGAAATACTGATAGAGATCAAGAGAGATAGACTGGTTGATAAGTTGAGGGAGAGAGAAGATAAGAGAAAAGAGAAAGAAATCCAAGCAAATGAATAGTGAGAGAGAGAGATCGAGGAAACAAGAGAGAGAAATTGTGAGGGAGAAACTTATTATTGAGACAAAAAGAGTGAGTGAGAGAGAGTGAAGAGTGAGAGAGCTAAAAAAAGAGTTAAGTGAGAAGAAATGAGAGATAGAAAGATTGATAGTGAGGAAAAGAGAAAATAGATAGACAGAGAGATGGGATGTTAATTTGTGAGAGAGAGTGACAGAGAGAGAAGCAAGGTAACAGAGGAAAGAGAGTGATATCAATATCTCCATCTCTCTTTCTCTATCCTACGCCCTTTCAACCACTGTCCCACTCTCTCTTTCTCACTCTCTCAATGTTTGTATCACACCCTCTTTCTCCTTTCCTCCCTCATCCCTTCCTCCCTCTCTCCCTCTCTTCTTTATCTTTCTCTCACTTTTCCTTTCCCTCTCTCCTTATATCACTTTTTATCCTCTCCCCCTTCATCTAATCTCCCTGATCTCTCTTTCTCTCTCTATCCAACAACTTGTCTCTCTCTCAATATATCTCCATGTAGAGATGCTCTCTTCTCCTTTCTCTCCTTCCCTCTTATTTTTCTCATTTGTACCCTTTATCCCTTCATATGGAGAGTAAGAGAAAGAGAGAGAGAGGGAGAGAAGAAATAGAGAGTTCTAGAGAGAGATAAAGAGAGCGAGAGAGTTGAGAGATAGAAAGGGAGAGTGAGAGAAAGATGGGGAGGCAGAGAGCGATCAAGAGAAAAAGAGAGTAAGAAAGACAGAGGGGGAGAGAAAGAGCAAGTTAAAGGGCGTGAGAGTAGAAGAGTGGGGGGAGAGAGTGATCGGTTGATCCCCCATCTTTTTTCTCACTAAAAGAGAGAGTGAGATAGAACAAGAGAGAGAAAGAGAGAAAGGAGAATGAGAGGAGAGATAGAGAGGGAGAGGGATTGTGAGGGACAAAAGCGAGAAAAGGGAGAGTTAAAGAGAAAGAGGGAGGTAGAAAGAGATAGAATGTAACTGGGAGGGTGGGATAAAATAAGAGTAGGGTAGTGAGAGAAGAGGGATGACAATAGGGAATGAGAGTGAGAGGGAATGAGAGAGAGAGAGAGAAAGATAAGGATAGAGATAGAGTGGTTAGAGGAGAGAAAGGGAGGGAGGAGAGAAAGAGAAAGAATAGCAAGAAGGGGAGAATGAGAAAGGGAGAGACAGAGTGAGAGAAATAATAAATAGAGGATGAAATCAAGAGAATACACCTCTCTCTCTCTCTAACACATTTCACTCAAACACACTCTCTCATTCGCTCTTTATTCCTCCTCTCTGTCACTCCCTCTCTCTATTAGCCAATATTTACTACCGCTCCCATCAATCAATCTATCCTCACACTTCTTTCTCTGACTTCCCCACTCTCTTTCTCTAATCTTTCTTGTAATGTCAAGGGAGAGGTGGGATGGATGGTGCGGGAGAAGGGGAGCAAGAGAGAATGAGTGTGTGAGAGGGAAAAAGGTATAGAGAAGTAGAGAGAGAAAGAGAGTGATAAAGTAGCGAGAGAAATGGAGGGTTTGAAATAGAGGGAGGGTTTAGAATAAAAGGAGAGAGAGGAGGAGAGTGAAAGAGAGAAGTGAAGGATGAAAGAAAGAGCGGTAAAGAGTTATTGGGAGAGGGAGAGAGAAAGATATAGAGATGGGGGAGAGAATAATGACAGACATGGAGGGAGTATGTGAGAAAAGGATAGTGTGGTAATGAAAGATAGGGACTTGAAGAGATAGAGAGGGACAGAGGGCGTTAGAGAGAGAGAGAACGAGAGAATGTAAACAAGGGATGTCGAATAGAGGGAGAGAGAAGAGAGTAAGGAAGAAAAAATTTACCAATTTCTTTCTCCCTAGTAAGAACAAAACTGACAGAGAAAAAAGATTAAGGGAGAGAAATAAGAAGAGAGGATATCAACATAGAGAGAGAATAGGAGAGATATTTGATAGATGGCTGAAGAGAGGGAAAGCAATCGAAAGAAATAGATAGTGGGTGGGAGAGGACAAAAAGAGAGAACAAGAGTGATAGAGCAAGTGTGAAAAGTGAGAGAGGAATGAGAGAGAACTCTAGAGATAGAGAGATAAAGTGAGTGAGAGAGAGAATGAAAGAGGTATAGGTAGGCTAGAGAGAGACAAAGAAGAGAGCCTTAGAGGGGGAGAGAGTTAAGGTTAGAGAGAAACAACTACAGAGAGAACAAAGCAAAAGAATGGAGAAAGAGGAATGTTATAGAGAGTGAGAGAGTGAGAAGTGAGAGAGGATAAAAGTAAGGATGATAGCGTGAGTGAAGAGGATAGTGATAGAGGATGAGATAGAGATGTGGGAGTGAGAGATTAAGTGATAGAGAGAAGAGGTATAGAGCAAGAGTGTGTAGAAAGTGAGATTTCGAAGAGAGAGAGAGCATGAGATATAAAGTGGGAGATAGTTAAATTTAATGAGAGAATAGTGATAGCAAGAAAAAGTGAGTGAAAAGTAAGCAGCTCTTTTTACCAATATATATATATATATAATAAAAGGAGACTAGGCTCCTATTTCATTAATAAAAAGATACAAAAAGGAAGGCAAGAAAGGCACTTCCCAAAAGTTAAACTGGCAAAACTCTAAGGAAATATAGATCAACAAGATCTTCATTCAACAGTAATTCTAAATGGGGAGTGGTACAAGTATCAATTATGGTGTTCTGAGTATGGAGGCTAGCCTTAGCAAGCCAATTGGCAGGGCTGTTACCCTCCCTAAAAGTATGAGAAAGGGACAACTTTATCTTCAAGCTCAAGGTTTGTATACTAGTGATCCACTGAATTAGATACCAAGAGGCAGATATCCTTCCTTCAAGGATGTTAAGTAAGATCATGGAGTAAGTTTCCACCATTAAAAGATTCGAACTGCACTTTATGGCCAAGAAAACAGCCCAATAAATAGCTTGGGCTTCAGCCTCTAGAGGGTCTTCAGCCTTGGCAAGAGACTGAAAATATAGTAGGCATTCACCTCTAGTATTTCTGAAATCTCCTCCAAAGCCAGCATTAGGAGAAATTAAGCTACCATCAGTATTGACTTTGAGCCAACCCATAGGAGGACAATTCCAGTGAACAAGGATAGCTTGAAATTTCATTGAACCAATGAGGGAGGATGTGCATAGGATTTCAGGAAGTTTCCTATGACAGTGCAGTTTCTGTAAATAGTTGTAACAGTGAGTGGCAATGGCATTGGCATCCCAATGGACCTCATCAAATTTCAGCTTATTTCTTGCCATCCAAACAAACCAAGCCATGATACAAGGGATGGGAGGGAGATGTTGGTCCTGCCAGTCTTTCCAGCTTAAATAAAACTAATCCCAAGACAGCTGGATGGTATTTAGTTTTAGTTTGGGTAACAAAATGTTCCAAACCTGCTAAACTTGATAGCATTTAAAGAATAAGTGGGGGAGGGATTCCTCCTCACATTTACATAGGCATCATCTTGAAGGGCCTCTCAAACCTTTTAATTTTAAAATATCATCAGTAGGAATAAAGCCATAGAAAAGATTCCAAGAGAAAAAGGCCATGGAAGGAGAAAGAAACTTGTTCCACACACATTTAGTCCAAGAGGTCTCCTATTGAGGAAAGCATAAATTAGCAATAGAAGCTGAAAATGTCTAGGAAACCTTCTTCTTTACAATAAGTTTGTCCTTCCTGGATCTTTCAATGGGTTTTTTCAATCTAGTGTTAAGTAATATGTTATAAAGGATATTCTGAAGAGCTTGTTGGTTCCATTCATTAGCAAACCAAAGGTCATCCACCTGTGTTATGGAGTTGAATTGAGAACCATATTCCACGAAATATATATATATATATATATATATATAAAGTGAGATAGAGAGAGCTAAAAGGAGTTAGGGTGAGAGAGTGGAAGGGAGAGATATGGGGGGAGAAAAAAAGTTAGAGTGACTGAGAGATAGAGCATGGGAGAGAGAGAGATGATGGATAAATATGGGGGAAAGAGAGATAGTGATAAATCTAGAGAATGATGAGATGGGAGAGAGAAATAGAGAGTAAAGAGGAAGGGAGGGAGCAGAAAGAGGGAAGATAGACAGTGAGAGATTGAGAGAGAGAAAGAGAGAAGTTAAAAAATAGTGTTAGATGGAGAGAAAAGTGAGAGAACATAGAGACATAGATAGAAAGAGAAAGTGAGAGACAAAGAGAAGGTAATAGAGGACAAACAAATGCGAAAGTTGGAGAGAAGAGTGGGAGAGGGAGAGAGAAATAAAGAGTTCACCTCTTCTTTGATCCTAGTCTCACTCTCTCATTTATTGATGCACTCCCTCTTCTCTCACTCTCTCCCATTCTCTCTTATTATCTTTCTATCATTCTCTCTCTGATTGTCACTTTCTCACTCAAAGAGAGTGAGAGCTTGATAATTGGAGGGACAAAGAGGGAGGGAGTGATATTGAGAGAGAAAAATGGAGGGAGAGGAGATGAGAGAAGAAGAGGGTGAGATATATCTTCTTTTCTTATCTCTTCTATTGCTCTCTCTAAGTATCCCTTCCTCCTTTTCTCATTTCTTTCACTTCCACTCTCTTCAAGCTCTTCTTTCTTTCTTTCTGTCCAACTCTTCCTCTTTATGAGATAGAAAGAGAAGATATAAGATGAAAAAAGTTCTCTCTGCCACTATAACTCTTGATCTCTCACTTCTTCCTCTATCTTTTTTTCACTTCACTCTTTTGCTCTTCCTCTATAGATCTTTTTATCTCTACCTCTCATCTACACTATCTTTCTCTCTTACTTTCTCACTCTCTCACTCTCTTTCATTTTTCTCTGACTCTTTCTCTAGAGTGAGAAAGATAGAGAGAGAGAGAAAATATATAGAGAAGGAGAGGAAGATAGAGAGAAAATCTATAGAGAAGGAGAGAAATATAGATAATAAGAGAGAAATTACTCTCTCCTAATCTTTTTTTATCTCATCTTTTCTCTTTCTATAATAGGAAAAGTGAAAAAAGTGAGAGAAAATAGGAAATGAGAGTGAGTAAAAAAGAGTATGAGAGGGAGAGGAGAGAGGGGGAACAAAATAAAAGATCTGAAGAGAAAAGAGAGAAGAGAGAGGGAAATGGAGAGATACATAGATAGTTAAGGTGGGAGAGAGATAGAGAGGGAGTGAATGTGATAGTAAAGGAGAGATAGAAAGAAAAAGAGAGAAGAGAGGTGGAATGAATGTGGACGAGAGAGAGGTAGGGAGGGAGTTAGAGAATACGAATAGGGAATGATGGACAAAGAGACAATGGAAGAGAAGGAGAAGGGAGACAGAGTTAGAGAAGTAATGAGAGAGAGCCAGTGAGTGACCGAGAGATAGAGAGAGCATTAGAGAGAGACAAGTAGAGGGACATAGGTAGAGTGATAGAGAAAGTAAGCTAGAAGATGATGAGAATGAGTGATTTCTCCATAGAGAAAGGTCTTATTTACCTTTTTTTCTTTCTCAAACTATCTCTTTCTTGTAATCTCTCTTCTCCCTTATTTTAGCATTTTATCTTGCTCTCTTTCTCACTCTCTCTCGAGAGGGAGACAAAGGGAGAGTGGAAGAAAGAGAGAAACTATGAGAGAGAGTGGTGAGCAAGAGAAATTGATAGTGGGAGAGTGAAGAGAGGTAGAGGAGATGGGGCACAAAATGATAGAGAGAGATAGAAATAAGAGAGAGCAAGAGAGAAATAAAATGAGGGAGAGAGCGAGGCATGTAGAGAGAGAAAAAGATGGAGGGAGAGATTGAGAGGGACATCTTAATCTCTATCTCTCTCCCTCCTTCTCTCTTCCTCTCTCTTTCTCTTATCTTACTCGCTCTTCTAATCTCCTGCTCAGTCTCTTTGTCTCTTTTATCATTCTCTCTCACTCTCACTCATTTTTCTATATCTCTCGCTCTCCCTTCTGCTCTCTCTCTGCGTTACCTCTCTCTCCCTCACACTCTACATCTTTCTTTCTCTACCAATCTCACTTTTCTCCTTCTTACCACTATCTCTTTCTCTCTCTCACTAATCTCTTTATCTCTCTCCTACTTTTTCTCAATCTCCCTCCCTTCATCAATTTCAACCTCTTTCTTTTTCTCTTTCTTCAATCTCTCTAGCCCTCAATCTTATTCTCTCTCACTCTTTTTCTCTCCATCTCTCCCTCTCTATCTCTTGATAGAAAACAATATAATAAATGTTGAGGGGGAGGAATGAAAGAGCAAGAGTGAGGGAGAAGAGAGAAAAAGAGAGAGGGCAATAGACGAAGGAGAGAATGAGAGTGATAATGATAGAGGGAGATGAGAGAGCTAGGACTAATAAAAGGATGATATAAAAAAAAGAGGGATAGATGAAAAGAGAGGAACATATTGTTGGTACAAGAGAGAGGGAGTATGTCTACCTCTCTCTCTGTCTCTATCCCCTCCCTCCCTCTTATCTCATTTTCTTAATCTCCCTCTCACTTTCTCTTCTAAAGGAGGGAGGGTGAGAGGGAGGCATAAGGGACAAAGAGAGGGAGAGTGTGAGGGAGAGAGAGAGAGAAGTGAGAATAAGAGGAGAAAGAGCAAAAAGATGGAGAGAAAAAGAATAGAAGATAGTGAGAAGGAATGGATGGGGGAAAAGTGAGAGAGGAGCGAGAGAGTTAGAGAGAGATGAGAAGAAAGGAGAGATATAAAGGAGGGTGGAGAGAGGAGATATAGAACGAACGAGAGAGTAAGAGCGATATAATGAGAGAAAAATAGATAGTATGAGGATAAAAAAGTTATAAAGAGAGATTGAAAGAGTGAGTCAGAGAATAGAGCAATAGAGTGAGACAGAGAGAGGGAAAGGTTGACAGTACAAGAGAGAGTGGTAGAGAGGTAAAATATCAGAGAGAGAGAGAGAGAGGAAATAAGAGAGTGGGGGAGGGGAGGAGAGAGAGAGTGGTAGAGAGGTAAAATATCGTAATAGACAAGGGGAAAGAGAGCTGAGAGAACGTGAGAGAGAGAGAGAAGAGAAGAGAGGATAAGAGAATAGTAGAGAGAGGAACAAGGAGGAATGAAAGGATTTAGGAGAGTTAAACTGATAGAATAAGAGAAAGAGAGAAAGAGAAAAGGAGGACAAGAAGGAGAGAGATGGAAAGTAAGGTAAAGAGAGAGTAAGAGAAGGATTGAGAAAAAAAACTAAAGAGAGAAAGGGAGGGAAGAGATAGAAAAAGCGTATGGGAGACAGTGATGAGTAAAAGAGATAAATAATGAGATATGAAGAGTTTGAGAGGGAAGGCAAGTGAGAGGGAGAGCGAGAGAGAGAAAGAGAAATCACTTTTCTCTCTTTCTTTATCTCTTCTTGTCACACACTCTCTCTCTCTTTCTACCTCCCTCCTCTATCTCTCTCGCTTCTATTCACTCTCTTCACCATTTCTCCCTCACTGCCTCATTCTATTTCCCTCTCTAATCTCTAACTCTCACTCTTTCTCTCTCGCTTCTCTCTCCTCTCTCTCAATGTCTCTCATTCTTTGTCATTCACCCTTTCCTTTGCTATTTAACTCTAGCTCTCGTCTTCCACCCTCAAATTCTTCTCTCTCTAGTCCACCTTCTCTCCTTCGCTTACTTTCTCATCTCTCAATCTCACTCTACCTCTCTCCCATGCACGCTCTCTCACTATTCACTCTTTTTCACTCTCTCTAGTTCTCTTACACTGACAGAGAGGTATTAAGAGAGAGGGATAAAGAAATAAAGAAATAGAGCAAGAGAGAGAAATTGAGAGAGAATATAAGACAGAGAGAAGGAAATAGCATAAGAGAGGGGAGGAATGAAAGGATGGAGAGAGTGATAGAGAGCGAAGAGAAAGTGAGGGAGAAAAGGGCCAGGAAAGTGAGTTAGAGAGAGAGAGATAGAGAAATAAGGATAGAGAGGAAGAAGAGAGAGTAGAAGAGAGAGAACATAAGGGACTTAGAGAGAGAGAGAGTAGATGAAGTATTAGAGAGGGGGTGAGAGAAGGATGGTGGGAAAGGACAGTGGAGAAAGAAGAAGAGAAGAGTCAGTGAGAGAGAGAAAGTGCTCTCTTTTTATCTCTATCTCTCTCCCACTCTACCACCCAACCTCACTCACTTACTACCTCTCCCTCTCCTTCTTAATTCTCACTCCCTATTCTCTATAATAGTTGCTCGCTTTCTTTTGTTCCCTCCCTTCTTTCACTCTAGTCAGTGAGGAATAGTCAATGTTCTTTATGCCTGGACCAAAGGGTAAAGAATATGTATGCTCCTATTTAGCACAATCTAAATTGAACTAATTCACTTTATCCATTCACTATAATTTCTTGACAAG